CAACAATCAAAACTACCCTCCACCGGTAGCCCAAACAATTATTTCTAAACAGATAATAAAAGCTCCAACAGATAAAATATCAATGTTTTCAAAAGTGAGCGATTAATAAATCCAACTCCACTATTCTACTATATAATGAGCCAATTTCATTATTTCCAACTCAATTCCATGTAACGACAATTTTCCCAAATTAATCATACCAATTAATTTATACAACCAATTAGGGTTTTCTACCCCATTTCCCAATATTGACCCAATGGTCTATATATCAATAACCAACAACAATTTCGTTATTTTGAAACCCAAGATACACATTTTAGAATCAAAATAGCAAAACTCCCTTTTAGCATTTTGAAACCCTAAGTCCCAAAATTACCCAACTTCAACACTTTATCAAAACAACCAAAAATCTATGTCAAAGACCATAAGAGTGAGTAGGAATCCCTACCTCAAATTCGGAGCTCAAGAGAAGACGATGAAGAAAACCAAAATGCTCCAAACTCCAAGATTCACGGATCAAAACAAAGCCCCGACGATCAACACAACTTGTACAAAGGACAAAGGGGAGGGAAGTACTTTAACTAAATCAAACCCTAGAGAGAAGGGAGTTTCTAGAGAGAGAGGCTCTCAAAAACGTTTTGGAAATGTAAGAGAAAGAGAGGAAGTGTAGAAAAATGATTCAAAAATGCCCAGCTGCCCTCTGTTATACGACATTCCCGCTCGAGCAGAAAACACAACCCTCGAGCGTCAAGAACAAAAAAACTAGGTCTGCTCGAGCACAAGAAGGCCCGCTCGAGCTCCAAGACACAAGAATAAAGTACATCCGCTCGAGCGCGAAAACCAGTCTGCTCAAGCGTAGATTTTCATCTCCCAGAACTTTCACCAACGAGGTACTACCCACTCGAGCGCCAACAATCCCGCTCGAGCGCAACAAACCCGCTCGAGCGTAGAAAACACACCTGCAGAAGTTTTGCAAGGACTCGAAATGCTGGAAGGGTGTAAACCCCGCTCGAGCGTAAAATGACCCGCTCGAGCAGACCACTTAAAAACTGGGCAACAGCAGTGGGAGCCAAAGCTCTACCAACCTGTAACAACCAAGCCCAACACATCCTAAAACTCAAACAAATGGAATTAAAGGACGACAACAAGATAGACACAACTATCAACTCCACGGAACCGAGTCCGGAATGCAATAGAACAGTAAAGGGAAATACCAGAATCGCTATAGTGTCTCCGGCGACAATGAGCACAATGGGCGCGCGGAACAAAAACAGTTCCTACAGAAGGCGCCAACTGATGATATAGTGTGTTCCAGGTGGAGCGGGTCAGACTAATCCACGTTCCTCAAAGCAGTGTCCGAATGACCAAGCCCACCAGAGGACCTGCACAAGAGTTCAATGGGAATGGGGAGTCCCCCAGCGAACCCTTCGACGAGTAAGTTAGAAAGAGAAGTGGAGCGTAGAGATAGATTAGAGATAGAAAGCTTAACCTTCTTCTTGTCTTCGACGTCTGCTTATATCTTTTGGTAATCATTTCGTTGTCCCTTCCGACCTGCCATCGTGGTCGAAAGTCTATGCTCTAGCTTGCCTTGTTCATGGTGAGGCCGTTCTGTCTCGACGGGGAGGGTTTATCGCAATAAATGCTATAAGGGGCTTCATTAATGGCTGATGTGCAGTGTAATAGCTTTGTAGGATCTTTGTCTGTTTATGTGACTTGTCCTTCACCTGCCACGTGTCTGAGTGTCATTGGTTCTTAATGCCATGTTGGGCCTCATTAGTTGAATTATGTATTGGGGCCTAAGTGATGGGCCTGGGTTGTTTATAGTGGGTTGTAGCCTTTATGGGCATACCTATGTCAAAGATAAATGCTTAATAGATTTTTGGTTTAAAATTATAATATTTTACAATTTTAAAACTTACTTTTCAGTTTGATCAATACAGGAGATTATTGCTTAAACCTTACAAAAATTGAAAAATAACATGTATATATTTTTCCTCATTATTACTGTTTGTTGTTGTTGTTACGTTTTTTTTTTTTTTTTCCTTTTCAATTTATCAACATTTAACATATTTTGCTATGTTTTTAGTTCTAATTTCTCCATTTTTTTTTCTTTTGATGATATTCTAGACATTCTGGCGAGTCTCCGACATTGTTCTTTATATCCAACAAACATTCTTGACATTCTAGCGACTTCTAGTGATGTTCATATCACTCCGGTGATACTCCGGCGAACTTCCGGTTTCGGTGACTTTCCTATGATGTTTTCCAATGACTTTCCCATGATATTGAAATTCTAGCAAGTTTCCGATAACCGTTTGACAGAAGTCCAATGGTGGTGAAATGTAATAGCATCTGTAAATTTTATTTTATTTTTAAAAAATTAGGAGTTTTTGGTAACAATTAGAAATATGTAAGACTAATTGATGCAAGTGTTTTATTCTGAAACTAAATAAGTTTTAAACTTTGTGTATGAGACTTACTGGTAAGTTCCTTTTTTTTTTCCACTAAAAAATGTACAATTTATTAAATGTTACCAAAATATTTTGCGTAATGTTGGATCCATGACAGGGTGATTGTGAATAGGGATGGCAATTTGAACTCGACCAGATGGAGACACGGCCCTCGATCCCTATCAGAATGGGTTTTTCCCGAAAGATGCCCCCGACAACCCTGAGATGGTATTCGAAAATGAATCTCCGACAAATTTCAAGCGGGGGACGGTGATACGTTTCCTAGCCCCGACCCCATCCCCATTTCCCCAATGTGAAATTATGATTATACCTTTCTATATATATAAACCAAACTCTAAAACACAATTACACAACACTCACACACAAGCAGACTGACCCTCTCATCTCTCTCTTTCTCTAAACCCTGCCATCACAACTGATCTCCCTCCCTCCCTCCCTCCTCCTATCACCGCCGATCTTCCTTCTCTCACTCCTCCCATCACTGTCAATCTCCCTCCTTCTCCGTTGTCCTCCTCTCTCTCCTTCTCCACTGTCCTCATCTTCCTCCTCCCGTCATTGCCGAATCCCTCTTCCTCCTCTGCTGTTCTCCTTTCCCTCTTCCCATCACCGCCAATCTTCCTCCTTCTCCGATCTCGACGAAAGTGAACTCAAATCAGCAATGATCGATGCCAGAACAAGGCATCACCACTGGTGAACAAGGTGTCGCCATCGCTATGCTTCTCTCTCTCTCTCTGGTCTCACTCTTCTTTATCCCTTTTTGTAGGTACCATTTGATTTTTACGGTATATATGTTGCGATTTGCTTGATTTTGTTTTGGGGTTATGTATTTTGGTTGTTTATGAGATCTATAGTTGTTTTTGAGATATAATCAATTTATATATGTGTTAGTTGTGATAATGACTTTTTTTTGTCTTTCCTCTGCCTAAAAAAAGAAAAAAAAAAAGATCGGGGATATTTTGAGGTCGGGAAAATCCGATTCCTGTTAGGGGGTGGGGGCGAGAGTGGGGGGGTGATGGTTCTCTGCTGGGGATCGGGGGCAAGGAAGAAAAGTTTTTTATATTCGGGGATTGGAGATGGAAGTATAATCTCTGACCCGGCCCATTGTCATTCTTAATTGCGAAATAGCAAAAAAATCGAATGCTAGGCCCATTCCGTTTGTGTAAAGTCCATTTTCTGTCTCTTTCATTAGAGCCCATGGAGGAGGTCGAAAGCTAGGCCCTTTCCTTTGTAAATGACATGTGTATTATCAAATTAGATGTATGGGCCAAAAATAGAGTAGACTAGGCTTTTGATAGGTTGGGCTAGGCATTAAACCCAACTAACAATCAAACCTTTTAAAACATGCATTATTTACATCCGGTACGTAACACTATAACAGAGCAAGTTTGTTATATTTCAAGTTACTTCTTTTACTTGCACAGAAAGTTTTGTAATGTTTAGTTGCATAAACTAAACACAATTTTCTCGTATGGCAGTGTCAGACCTACAGAAAGGTGAAAGTAATGAGTGGATGTGTTCATAATTTATGTGTTGTTTAGTTGCATAAACTAAAGACAATTTTTTCGTGTGGGTGCGCGAGACCTATAAAAAGGTGAAATTAATAAGCGAATGTTTTTATAATATTTTTTATTTCAAAATATTGTGAAATTGTTAGAGTAAAATATTTGTGTTTCTCCTCTTTTATTTCCTTCCAATCAAACCAAATAATAAATTTTGGATCGGAATCACTTTCTCTACCACAAGTCATCCCTATGATCACGTAATAGAGAGGAATTTAGAATAGGGAGAAAGAGAATGCGACAGAAAAATTTTCAATCCTTCCAACAGTAACTTCAGTAATACAAAGTATTCAAAAATTTATCCAAAAATACGATTTTAATCTAAATTAATTTTAAGCATAAATCTCATAATACAAAAATTAAATCCAATCCAAACTATTTTACTGGATGAAATTCTGAATAATTATGCTCGACTACCTCCTACACATTTGCCTCTAATCAAAAGTAACATAATGTTAAAAAAAAATATAATGACTGAGACCCCCAGTGGGGGTGACCCCACCACCCCGACTGTTTTTTGATTGGTTGAAAATTTTTATTTTTTTTATTTACAATCACAGCCCTCCACGTGGAGGTGGGGTGCTGGGGACACCCTCCCTAAGAGTCCCAGCAGTGTTGTAAAAAAAAGTAGTATCACATTAAAGAAACAACAATATTCAAAATAAAATATATTAAAAGAGATAGATAGGCTATAACTACAAGCAACAAAATAATATAAAAATTATCAAAAGAAACAATTTTAATCTAAATTTATTTTAAGCATAAATCTCATAATAGAAAAATTAAATCCAATCAAAACTATTTTACTAGATAAAATTTTAAATAATTATTCTCGACTACCTCCAACACTTTTGCCTCTAACAAAAAGTAACATAAATGTTCAAAAAAAAGTAGTGGCACGTTAAAAAAACAACAATATTCCAAATAAAATATATTAAAAGAGATAGGTATGCTGTAACAACAAACGACAAAGGGAAAATAAAAAATTATATGGTATTTGCTGCTTTATTTTTTCATTATTCAAAAAGGTAAAACCCAAAACTAAATTCCCTCGAAAAACACCTACACCAAAGAATTCCTCTAAATAAAAAACTACAGAGTATATTCCGACTAATAAAAAAAAGCTACTACTATAACGATCTTTACAGCCAAGCTTTCTCCCTACGACGAGCCCAACCCGACTCTACAAATCTCCGCCACTGCTGGAGTGTCCCAGATCGCCGTCCGCCTCTTCATCTCCTCGAAATCATCCACACACTGCTTCATCTTCATCTCCCAAACCCGCTTTCTTGCCGCCGCGAGCTTCTTCCCAGCAGCTCGATCGAACACCCTCTCCCACCCCTTTTCCCACTCCCCATGAGCATTGCACAGCTGAAGCGTTCCGTTAGCCCAGTCAGTCCAGCTCCACCCTTTGTCCAGCCTAGACATGACGTTCTCCACGCACGATCCAGAGCACGCCGCCGTGCACGGCCTGCACTTGGCCCCGCTCAGCGGCCCCGGACTCGACATTGCCGCCACCGGAACACCATAATGCGCCGGCGGGAATTCATATCTCCGGTCCGTAACGATGCAGAAAGGGACGCGTTTGGTGATGTAGGGGACACGTTGGGTGGTGAGTTGGGCTCGGAAGGCGGTCTCCGAGTTGAGTTGACGGAACCCGGCTGAGTTGAGTTGGGGGATGAGGGAGAGTCGGGAGAGGGCAACGGTGGAGGTGTTGAAGTCACCGATGCCGAGGCGGTCGTTGAGACCGCCGTAAGAAGAGCCCGGCGGGACCAAGTACTGACCCGGGACGAAGTTATCAGGTGTAAGTGGACCAGACCAGTAGCTGTCGACTCTGGTTCGGACTATCCAGTCGTATGTGATGTTATTTTGGTCCTGATAAGCTTTGATCATCTTCAAGCATCCCTCTACGAGGTTGAAATATTGCAAGAGTCCCTGTATACACAATTACATTATACAGGGAAAAATAAATTCGCACCTATAACCTATGATAAGTTTAGGCAGAAATTAGATAAATTATACAGAGAAAAATAAATTCACACCTATAACCCTATAGGCAGAAATCAGAAAAAAAAAAAATTTAAAAAGTGAAACCTATCAATAAATTCTATAGAATTAATTTAGTTTAAATGTTGTTTACTCTTTTTGAGAAAAAATTGCCAAAATCTCTCCATTGAAGTCTTATGTAGTGAAAAGAAAAGTTCAATTGATTTTGTTTCATAAACTCCACTAAGGAGGAGGTGCATAATAGAACAAAAACAAAGTAAAAAAATATTTTTTTGTTGAATAATATTATTAGAGTAACATGTTATTTTGTTTAACAGTAATATGTTATTTTATCTCACAGTAACCGGTAATATCATGTTACTCTTGTTAACAATAACTATTTACATCAAATTCAACGATAGTAAACTTTTATTTATTTATTATTTTTTTAAAGAAAATCATAATCAAACATGGATCTTATTTGAGAGATCTTGATGAAAGAATTCTAAAAAGAGAGGTGCTAGGCTTCAGGAAAAAATTTCAAGAAAACCTTCAGGAAAATAGAGGAGGAGGAGGAGGAGGAGGAAGGGGAGGAGGAACTGGAGGGGGCCATCAAAATGGAAGGAGGCAGAGGCGGAGGCGGAGGCGAGGCTGGGCAGAGGCGGAGGCGGGCCTGGGTAGAGGCTGCGACGGTGGGCTGGGCAGACGATCGGGGTTGGGCAAACGATCGACCGACGGCGGACGACAGCGGCTGGGCAGACGACCGAGGCCCTCCAGTTCCTCCTCTTCCTCCTCCTCCTCCTCCTCCTCCTCCATTTTCCTCCATTTTCCTGAAGGTTTTCCTGAAAATTTTTCCTGAAGCCTAGCATTTTTCTTCTAAAAATACTAATTTTATTAAAACCGACATCTAGAGCAAAAGTCACATTGTTTTAAAGTTTAATATTTTGATAATAGTGATATGTGTTAGATTTTTTTAAAAAAACTTTTTGTACTTGTTCTTTAATGCATTAAAGTTTTATTATGAGGAGATTTTGATCAAATTTCCTTTTTTTTAACGTCTTGATGAGGGGGAAATTATATTTTTTAGAAAATTGGTTAAGTTAGTTTATTTTCTTTAATTTTGAGAAAAAAAAATATATTCTAAAAATATATAATTATATTAATAATATTATTAAGACACCCATCAACAAAACTCAAAACAACAATGCTAAAATGTGAAGAAAAAAAAAATCAAATTTATTCTGGGTCACCCATAATAATCTAAAGTCCAACCTAGTCCAAACGATTGACAAATCTGTGGGTTAACACCTTGGTTGGAATGTACATTATTTTATAGTAACGCAATCCTCACTCTCCATGTCATAATTATTTTATTAATAAAAAATACTCCTATTATCTTTCATTATACAATATATTGTGTCAATTTAGAAAATTTATCCATATATATATTTTCAAAAAGCTTTAAAAAACCTGAATCTAGTAGACCCCTTGATCCATTAGACAAGCCCTGGGCTTACATTATGGCCCAAACACGGCTCACAAAAACCCTGGTAGGCTAATCCGGCGAGCAGGTATTGGCGTGATTGTCATGTCTGACCTTTAAATAGTTCGAATTTAAATATGATCAGAATCAAAATAAATAAATAAAATGATTGGCAGTAGTTGATACAAGGAAAATGTCTCGTAACTCAAATTTTATGGCTCAAAAGTGGCTTAAATGGCCAAAACGACGTCGTTTTGGCCATTTTTATGTTGTTTTGTACTCAAAACGACGTCATTTTGACCATTTGAACCAAAAAATTTAAGCTACGTAGCATTATCGTTGATACAATTGCATTGCAACAATGAAAATTTGTCCCAACCAACAAATCCTAATCTATGATATGATGGAACCCATAGAATTGGCATTAGGCCTAAAATAATTATTTTAAGGACCATTTGGCATCAATAGTTTAATGTTCTTAGTTGACACCTGGCACTAAAAAATAACATAATTTTTTGAGTACTAAAAACCTAGCTGTTTTCTGTCACTAGGGAAAAAAAATTCCACATTAATTAGTATATTTTTAAAACTATTTAGGAGTTATTTGACATAATTGATATAAATGCACTTATTTAAGTTAAGTCACTTTTTTTATTTTGATATATATATATTTATTTAATTCATCCTAAACAATTTCTTAATTACAAATAAAAATATTAATAAAGTAACTATGATCCTGCGAATAATTTTTGTCATTGGGCGTTTACCATAACTTGTTGGGATACATGAAGTCCAAAACGCAAAACAATAAGGTAAAAATATTATTATAAGGAATGTCACGTACTCACCTGTGACATTCACATATTAAATAAGATACAATACAATGAATTTGTTATTCATTGCGTGTTTCACTGATCTCATAAGAATATTGGTTTGGTCATGCTATCATAAAAAAATAATGAAGAATATGTGAGACGCTAAAACAAAAATAAAACAATTATAACTTAATAAAATACAAGTAGTATTATAGGGTCTGCTTAAACCAAACTTTTATTGCTTTTGTTTTTATTATTAATTATTCCATATCTATCTACTATTTGACAAATGGAGGTTGGTTTATTTATGCCAATTTCTACCAATTAAATTAAAAAGAAAAGAAAAAATATATATAGACAGGTGCACCAGTTGAGTTGTTCGAAAATTGGCCACGGTTACAACTGAGAACAAATTAGATAACCAAAAATAAATTAATTAAACAGAAAATAATTGGCTAAATAGAAGTAGAATGATATGGCTCTGTTTGGCTCTGTTTGCTTTTAAAGTTTAATTTTGCCCCCCTTTGTTTGGTTATATTTTTAAAAAATTTTACACTCGATTTTCAAAATACTTATTTTTTAATATTATATATTACATCACTTAATTCAAATTTTTTTAAAACTCATAATCATATAAATTTTTGACACTCAAATCATAATTCTAAAATTCACAAACTCAAAATACAATTATATTCTCAAATCATAATTCTAAAATTCTACCAAAAGCCATCATAGTTTTTATTTTTAATTATTATTATTTTATTTTTTTTGGGGAAAAATGAGAATGAGAATGAGAATGAGAAGAATTTACTTACCTGTATGCCGTTGGGTGAGTTGCTAGCGGTGAGAACTCGGAGCTCCGACTCAGTTTCAGGAATTGGTTTGGGCTGGAAAATTTTAACGGACGCGATTTTGGGGGCAATCTTGAGGAGAGAGAACTTGAATGCATTCGAGTCCATAGGGCTGTGCAAGAAGAGATCTGAGTTTGGATAAACCTTTAGAATTTTCGCCACAATTGACGGTCCAGTTAGCTCGAACCTCCTCGCCCCTCCCACCAGACAAACCGCCATTCTTGACCTCTCCAACCGGCTCGTCTCCGATTCATTCGTGTTCGGAGGCGGCGGAATCGGCGGAGGTGATCGGCTAAGGTTCGGGGAGGGGGTGGTGCGGTTGTAAAGAATGGATTTCAGAGGGGGGAAAGAGGGGAGAGAAGTGAAGGGGGAGGAGGAGGAAGAGAGAGAGAGGAAGAGGAGGAGAGAGAGAGGGAGGATGAGGAGGAGCACACGCCAGTCGAGATCCGAAACCCATTTCGAAAACTGCATCACTAATTCCTGAGAGGGCTCTTTGGCATCATCTCTCTGTCGTCTCCGGAAACATTCGGATCTCGGATCTCGGATCTCGTACCTTCTATTCTCTATATAAAAAAGAAACAGAGAAAGTGAGGAGAGAGATAGAGAGAAAAAGAGACGATGTGTAGATAGATATTGAGGAGGAAGAAATCAACGGAAGAAATAGTATATGACTTTTCAAAATAACTTTACCTTTGATCTTTCTTTTCTCTTTTGTTGAATGAGGAATTGGTTTAGGAAAAATATTATAGATAAATGATTAGATATTAGAATTAGTGTAGGGTCTATAAAATTATGAATTTCATATATAAAATATTTAATTATTTATTAGTAATATGTTTGAAAAAAAATTAAAAAGTCAAAAAATTATTATCTTATTTAAGTCACATTATCTCATTTAAGTAATATCATCTATCTAACACATCACTTCAAACTCAACTCAAATTCAATCCATATTTCATAAAAAGTGAAAAAGTGCACTTATTTAGATTATTCCAAAGAACCATTTGGAATGTCTTAAATAAGTGTACTTTTAAACTTTTTGAACTAAAAAGTTGAGGAAAAAAAATATAGTTGTTTGGGTTAATTTTTTGACTTTTTATGAAAAAATGTGTATTAAAAAATTGTATAAATTAGTGTATAAGAGAAGATTAGGAGTGTGAGTTGTACCTGTTCTACCTGCGCAGGTTGAATAGATGCTAAGAAGTAATTGTCTACTTTTCGGGTATTGCACTGGACGGTACTGTTCGGCTTATGGGGGCCATCACGGGTCCCGTTTTGATAATCTGAACCATTCAATTTGTAGAACTCGTCGAGTACTATATGCCTATAAAAATCACGTTGATCGAATATCGATAGCTATCTGATCAGATTTGTTTTTTTTCAACTATTAACTATAACACCATCCTTTTTTTTTATACTAAACTGATTTGATCATATAGTTATCGATATCCGATCAATGTGATTTTTTACGGACATATAGTACTCGACGAGTTCTACACATTGACCGTTCAGATTATCAAAACGGGACACGTGATGGGCCCCCACGGGCCGAACAATAGTGTATTAAAATTGCACCACAACTGTGCAATTTTTCTTAAAAAACACAACACAGATCTGAAAGGGTCAGATTGATGAGTTGTAATTTTGTGTGTAAAATTAATTTTTTAATATTTTTTTTGATAAATAATAATAACTTTTTAACTTTTTTTTAAACTTGCCAAATCAGCCTTAGTATGTGTAACATTACTCTTCATTTAGGTTGGGGACGTTGATGCATGGCATGATTAGTATTGTTAGGAAGTGTGGCCGGAGATAATCATAAGAAATCCATATTTTATTTATTTATTTATTTTGTTTTTGTATTTTATATTTAACAAAAATAAATGCTAACAAGTGTCTGGAAAGGAATTGGGGTCACTGTGACTATTGTGCCTCATTTTGTGGTGCATTATGAATTTATTTTTATCATCTGAATCGTTAATGTTATAAGGTTTGTTGAGTACTTCATGCCTACCAAAAATCATATTAATTGGATACTAATAACTATATGATTGATAACTAAAAAAATAAACAAGAAGTTTTTCTTTTGAAAAATAGTATAAAATATGCAATTCGATCATATAGTTATTGATATCCGATTAATATGATTTTTGATAGGTTTGAAGTACTCAACAAATCCTACAAAATGAACGGTTCGGATCATAAAAATAAACCCATAATGCATTTCAAAATGAGGCACAACAAAGGCATAGCAGTGACCCCAAGTCCGTCTTGACATATGTAAAATTATAAAAAATATATATATATATTAATTTTAGTAAAAATGTATTAAATTTAATAAAAAGTGTATTATGCTCCTTGAATTTACACTGATTAAATGAGACTTGATGTAAAGTATTTTATAAATATATAAAAATATTAATAAAAAAAAAAGTTATACAAGACTAATACAAAAGGAGGTGACCATTTTTAATTTTATCATTTTAAAATAAAAGATTTATCAAAGTAAATTAAAATTTTAAAAATATCATCGTTTTTGTATAAAAAAATCTATAAGGATACACTTTTTTATGTATAAAAAGATTCAAATATTAAAAAAAATGGAAGTACAAAAATACTTTTAAAATGATAGAGGTATAAGTGATTTATATATTAAATTGTACAAATAAATCTTATACCTTCATCACTTCTTTTTTTTTTTAAAATCATTTAAATTTTTTTTGAAAATTTCCCTTAAAAAAATTATGAAATCAATAAAAAGTTAAGAGGAAGAAATTTCTTTATTAAGAAGTACTATAATAAAACAGCAACCAACCTGACAGATGAGATAGATAGGTTTTTGTTGCACTTGATAATAACTTCTTGTATTAATAAAAGTAGGAAATTCTACAATACACAGCCACCGGTTGTTTTGGGGTGTAATAGATGGGAGGAAATTATGATGCAAGTGGAGTTGTTTGTATTGTATTTGTTTGTAGAGTTAGGAAAGGGATTAGGATGGAGGAGGGGGATTGAGATGGAAGTTGGAAGGGAGATTGAGATGGAGAAAGTAGAGGTGGTATTAGAAAAATAATGAGGGGATTAGAAATTTTTTTATTTTTTACATATTGAAATTTTTTTTAAAAACATTAATGTTTAATTTTTTATATATTTTTATTATTTTATATAAAAATAATTTAACAATACTTACACTAACAACTACCATCAAAACAAACACAATTTTACTTAATCCCTTGACTGTTAATCCCCTCACTATAAATTCTCTTCATTCTACCTTTGAAAACAAATGGGGCCACAGCTGTTTAGGGTAGAGAGTGTGCATCATATACACTTTCAGTTATGATTTTTGTATTCTTAGTTATGATCTAGAGTAATATTAAAGACATAAAAATTTTATCAAATATTTTACTAAATATTTCACATGGGTGTAAAACTCATTTGGGTGTGAGGCATTTAGTATAATATTTGATAAAAATATTTGGGACTTATAACATTACTTGATCTATTATATTGTTAATTATGATATCTTATAATATCAGTTATGATTTAAAATTTATTTAATTGTACTTCATATAATATTTTAGAATAATGTTTGGTGGCCCGAAAAATTCTGTCCCGAATGCCCCGAATGGCTGAAACGACGTCGTTTCAGCCATTCAATTTTTTTTTTTTCTTCCTCAGTCTGATACGCAGTGAGGGAGGAGAGAAAGAGAGAGAAAAATTGGGAGAGGGAGAGGCCGTCGCCGTCGCCGATGCCGTCGCCGATAGCCGATCGCCGCGCCTCCGCCTTCGCCGCCTCGCTGCTCTGCTCTGATCGTCGCCGGCTCTGCCCCGATCGTCGCCTCCGCCCCTCGTCGGCTCTGCCCCGCTCGTCGCCTCCGCCTCCGCCGCCTCCTCCTCCATTTTTTATGAATATTTTATTATAATTTAATTTTTTTATATATAATTATGACTCTTAAAAGTATGTATCATACTATTTCATAATATTAATTGATTACTATTATTATTTATTTATTAGGGTGGTGAAATCGAAAAGAATGTATGGCTTAAAGTATTGAATCACGTGATATGTTAGTGTAATAGTGTGGGACTAAAAATGTTTTCTGCTCATTCACCAAAAAAATATTCTCTCCTTCATTTTTTAATACTCCTATTTTCCCAAGTTATATATTAATTTAATAATAACTAATGACTTGAGTCAGCGCCCGTGTTCTAGACGGCATCTCGGTATGTCGGCACCTTTATATAGAAACTTTATACAAGTCATTATATTAACGTTGTATTTTTATCATCTTTTTAAATTTCTTGTTATAAAAAAAAAATATGGCATGTATTTGTTAATATGATTAATTATTTTTTAAAAAATAAAATATATATTTACATAATTTATTTATAATAAAAATGATGTAATAATAATATTGTTAAAAGTATAAATTATTGAGTCTTTTATTTAAAAAATCAAAAATTATTAATATTGTTAAAAGTATAAATTATTGAGTCTTTTATTTAAAAAATCAAAAATTATCACATCATTTTATATACATATATATATTTTTAATTTGGTGAATTTTAGATATATATATATATATACATATATAGAACAGCCACCTCCATCTCTCTGATTTTACTTGTTAACCTATTCTATTGACCTGCCAAAAGTAGTTCTAGAAAGCATTGCTAAAATTACAGCTTAAAATATTCTATGCATGATATTCTCGCCTCTCTCATATCATATATATACAATCTCTATTTTTCTATTTTTGAGCGGGTGATCAAACATTTATATAAAAAAGTATGTATATAAACTTATCTATATTTTAGGCCTCATTTGAAAAGCCAGTTAAAAGTTAAAAATTAATTTTTAACCTATTTTAAATTATATTATTTCTCATATTTTTTTTACATATTTTTCAAAAAAATTAAAAAATTAATTTTTAACCACATTTCTAAAATAGGCCTTAATTATCTCGTTTTATCCTCGGGACCTACCACTACTAGATGGCGATGGCGACAAATCTATCCAAACACAAATTATTGTGGGTTGGTTTTAAATTTTTTATTTATTTATTTTTTTGACTATTTTAACTTGGAATTAAAAGGTTTTGTTTGGAATAAATTTTTTGATTTTTATAAAAAAAATGAAATAATTATGGTTTGGATGTGATGTTTTGTCTTGTTGAATTAAAAACCTATTTTATCTTTTTGTAATTATTTTAACCCAAACTCTACATGCCAAACAAAGCCTCAATCTTTCAAGAATACCACGTTTGGGAAGAGCTATTTGGGACTTTTTTGGCTATTTTAGCCACAAAAAAATAAAACATCACATCCAACCCATAAACATTACACTCTTCTCTCACAAAAAAGTCAAAAAAGTCAAAAAAACTAAAAAATCCTTCACAAACCAAACTTTTTAACCCAGACTAAAATAGTTAAAAAAGTCAAAAAGTTAAAAAACCAACCCACTTCCCAAACGACACCGCAATTACATGTCTAATCAATAATGTTTTACCTTTTTCATATATATAAATACTAGGGATGACCCGTGCCTGAAGGCACTACCAACAATTTTTTTGGTGTCACGTGCTACGAAACTCAATGATAATAAATCAATTCAAAATGGTAATGTTACTCGACTTAAAACTTCACATATAAGAAATTGAAATTGTTTCTGCACATTGAATTAGCGAAAGCATTTATAAATTTCAAATAACAAATTTCAAAATTAAAGTCCAAAAAATGAATTATGTATTTGAACGTAGCATATGCAAAGAATCTAGAAATATTTGCTAAACTTAAGAGTCAAAATAGCAAATTTTAGATTTTTATCCACGTCAAAATGACACATCTATACACTATAGCAAGTTATAATGTGATAACCTTCAATAAAAGAATGTTGTTGAATTAGTATTACAACTGGTAACCCTATCGCTTTATCAGGTTTAAATTCCTTCAAATAAAGGTCGATGAACATTATGATACAAAAGAATCATCCTAGCTAACCCAAAAATAAATAAATAAATAATTTAACATGAGAGAGCCAACCAATGACACACTGGTAGAAGCAACGTAACACAATGTTTCCAATATGGATCAATGACCTGCAACAAAATCACTCGCTTAAATTCGCTTCAAAAAACCAATAGCTATGAAAAATTACATCAAAATGAAATCCGAAGAAATTGCAATGAAGAATAATTGCATCAAAAGAAACTGTAACATGAAAAATCGCATCAAAATACATATGAGAAATAGGAAAATCAATAGTTATGAATTAAGAAGAATTGAACATAACTATTATGGCCAATTGAATTATGTATGCATTACTAAAGTAAACAAATGAGAATAGACAATTGTATGCATTACTAAAGTAAACAAATGAATAGAAAAGCAAATAATAGTATAGAAGGATCAATTGAGAATGCCGACAAATCATACAAACCTCCAAATAGAATTAAACTCAAATTTTGTAAGGGGAGCGAATAATTTTTTTTTATTAAGACTAAGAGAGTCTTGTTATAAGGAAGAAGAATTTTTGAAGGTTGCAAAACCAAACAAAATTAAAATTTTAAAAAATTAAAGCTTACCTTGTGCGAAGTATCCATTTTTGGATGATCATGCTCCGTTGAGTTTCCATCCCTGTAATAATGCATAACTCATTTTCTAGTTGAAGCATTATGTATAACAATTAGTAGGCAACAAAAAAAGAATCAAACTTGAAATTAATGTTAATGGGCAAATCTAACTAAAATTAAACCCAAGGTTAATTAAATAAAATTAACTGTATTATTTTTTTAAACAAAGATTACAACCAAATACTTGTGCTAGTTCATTTATTATTTTAATATTTTTGGAATCAAAACCATTCAGAAACACATTTAAATCTAACCCATTTTAAAAAAAAAAAAATCATTACATGAAGATAGGTTTCTAAAATCTAAACCATTTCAAAAAATTATTACATGAAATTCACAGCTTTTGCACACCTCATACCCAACACTACATTTGCCTCAAACCAATCAATTGACCTGCCTACTAAAAAAAAAAAAAGGAAAAAAAAAAGGGATTACATACTTTTCACTTTCTAGGTGATTGATAACATGTTGTATACTCCAAATCAATCACCAAGAATTTGCCCACAACATTTAACAGAGCACTTCACCAACATTAAGGGTTGAAAGTGAAATCACCTTCTTCTTCACTTATGAGTTACCATTATGCATAATCATCCAATTAAAAGTATAAATTATGTTTAAACTACTTCAAGCATAAAGTAAGTTTATGCCATCACTCATTACTCTAGGATGACTAACTAATAACATAGATGGTCTACTAAATTAATTTAGTTCCAAAACCAAATATTTGAAGAAAAAAAGAAGCAACCAATTGTCTTAAAACTGGCTTTTATTAATCTAGACCTCTTTACTGTTTTTCTTTTACAAATTCTTTATAGGCCACATTGAACCAATCTCAACATTGTTTATAGAGTCTTACAAAATAACTGGCAAAGATGAAAGTATAATTTTTTTGGATAAATTACAAATACACCCCTGAGGTTTGCTTAAAATACGAATTGTTCCATGTGGTTTGGAAAATTACAACCTGTCAGAATTTTTTATTTAAGAAAAATAATTAAAAAAATGAAATTTCTAGCTGTTCACCTATACAATAATCAAATTATCTGAATTATTAATTGAAATAAAATTTTAACATTATTAAAAATTGTTAATTAACTTGATGATTTATTAATAAAAATACATATTTATTATGAAATTAGAAACCTTAGAGGACATAATGTAATTTCTAAAACCACATGGGGTAATTTGTAATTTAAGTAAATCTCAAGGGGTGTGTTTGTAATTTACCTTTTTTTTTATTTTATTTATCACAACTTAAAATCCTCACTCTGAAAATAAAATAAAAAATGAGGAGGAGGAGGAGAAGAAGAAGAAGAAGAAGAAGAAGAAGAAAGAAAGAAAAAAAAAGAAAAGAAAGGAAAGAACAGGCGCAACTCTTGTACAAAATAACAGATGATTTTCACCTAATAAAACTAAAATATATTGAGTTAAGAGTCACAGGGGTAAAGGGAAGAAGAAAAAAAAATTAACTCTAACCCATCCAATCAAAATTTTAATTTATTATAATCATATTTGTTTGTCACATTTATTTTAAAATGAATATACAATTGTGCCTACGGTGTTTAAATTTTAAAATGAAAATTTTAATTGATTATAAGCACTGGTAAAGTTATAGGGTGTGGAATAAGTAGTAGGCAAAGTTATTCTATTAAATCAACCTGATCTAAATTTCTTTTCCACCCCCAAAATCACCTATATCAAGAAGAAAAATTACAATAAAAAGAAACTCCATAAATACACTTCTAGTTCCCCAAACAAAGATATAAAATTGTGAAAAAAAAAAAGGCTCACTTGTTTAATGGGCCGTTGTGCCATTGCTCTCCATTTCTTGAAAAATTCACTAATAGACCCACACAACACTTCCATTCATTATATAACCTGAATTTTTTGAGTCTAATCAAAACAAAGCAAAATCAAACATAAAGGCATTCTAAACCATGCTAATTTTCAAAATTATAGTAAAAATTATCACAATGATTATCATCAAGATTGTATGAAATTCAAAAATTAAAATAGAAGGCCCAAGTTATCACCATAAAAAAATCAAGTACTCGCTCTTTGTAGTTCTAAACCTAGCTAATAATCCAGAAGATAGCAACATGTAAATGAAGCCTATCTAAAAAAAAGTTAAGATTCTTAATTTTCACAACATGTAAAATGAAGTCAAGTTGAGCAATAGATAAGCAACAAATTATTGACAAATCCATCAATGGAAAGCAGACCAATTACCTAATCAACCATTGCGGCAAACAAAGTCACAACAACTTTTTATGAGCTAATCAAACACTCCTTCAAGCCAAGACATATGTACCTAAAACAAAAGGAAGAATAGAAAATATAAGCAAGCAAGCTCCATTATCCAAAATCAACTCCTTAAAAATTGCCCATTGTTTGTTATGACACCAGATACGTAGGAATTAAGAATAACCTCTCAAGAGAATTCATAATCTCATAATAGAAGACAGAGAAGCTGGATACCAGCAAGATAATCTCATAAGAATAATCTCTTTTCTTTCCTGGTCAGTCTTAAACTCAGCAAGATACTAGTAGTAGTCACCTTTCCTGAATTAATGAGAAACAGGGAATATAAACTTACTTCCAAAGAAATGACACAGATAAACTTCTTTCCAAAGAAATGGCACAAGATAAGTAGGAATTAAGAATAACCTCTCAAGGGAATTCATAATCTCATAATAGAAGACAGAGAAGTTAAGAGCAAGGCCAAGACGAATTGGGTGTGTTGAAGGGAGATCTGTATTTGCAATAGTAGAAACAGCCTTAAAAAAGAAAAAAAAAAAAACAGCATCAAGAAGACACATCAAGTGAAGGTTAAAAACAAAACTATGTCAATATGCAGCAATTCACTATGCATATCTCTAGTATAGGATGTCAAGACAATTGATCAACATGCCTCATAACCCTTCAGTGATTGTTCAACAACCTCTTTTCTTTCCTGGTCAGTCTTAAACTCAGCAAGATACCGGTAGTAGTCACCTTTCCTGAATTGATCAGAACACAGAGAAGATAAACTTACTTCCAATTTGGAAAGGAAAGAAAAATTTGAGAAAAATAAAAAGTCACATTCAAGGTAGGCCCCAAACCAAATTGTATTAGTATTAGATGTATCAACTGATAAAACCAAACGACACTAACTAATGTACTTCAAAAAAACAAAAATAAAAGAAGCACACCAACTAATAAGAAAAAAAAATCTAAATCAACAACCAACATAAACAATTATTACAAAACCAACTATAATTTGACAACAAATTGAATTCATCTTGGTAATGAAAAAAAGAAAAGAAGCAGAGAATAAGATTCTAAGCTGGTTTCCATATTAAAAAGTAACAAAGACTAACAATTAATGGTGTTCTACACAAAATTGGAAACCAATATGATGAATGTAGACAAACCAATATGATTAGTGGTGTTCATATACTATCACCACAACCATATATGTATTAAGCATACTACACTGCAAGTAGACAAACCAATTTTCTAATCATTAAACCCATACCTACTATTTTCAATGTGTTTGATGGAGGTTAGTTTAGTATAGGATGTCAAGACAATATATATCAACAACCAATGTAAACAATTATTACAAAACCAACTTTATATGCAATAGTAGCTTTCCCTGAACTATCTGTTTCAATTTTTAATATATATCATTAGTTTTTCAACTTAATTGGTCTCTAAGTGAGTTACTCGAAGCTTAAACTTGAGTGAAAAAGATGCAGTTATGATGGCATGACTCTAAGAACATGTGAACATTGTATTTGCCTATGCAAGCCAAATAATGTTTTATGTAATAATTGTAGGCTCTAATAATTAGTAAATGTTTTCATAGTAGCAGAAGCAAAACCAAGGAAAATCTACAGAGTTAATTTTCATAGTTTGATGCTCAATACGGATCAAACAAATTTGATGCTAAGCAATTGCGAGTACCTACAAAAATCATAGATCGGATAATGAAAGTACCCTCACAAAAATCAGACACCTAAACTACAAAACCAAAAATTACTATCAAACAACAAAACAACAAATCCAAATAACTCCTTCAGGATTCAGAATTTAAACAACAAATCAAAATTATAGGCAAGAGCAAAGAAAGTGAAAAGGCAAACAATGAAGAGTGAATAAATTTTATCGGCAAGAGCAGAGAAATGGAAAAACACAACATAATCAACAACGATCGGGAAAAAATATTGTACAACGAGTTCGAAGTCTTACCTAAATGAGAAACAAATCACATAATATAAATGAGAAACACAATCAAACTCAAATGAGAAACAAATCACATAAAAATTTAGACACCCAACGAAAACCCAAATAAAAATTTTAAGGCATTTTGGAGACCCATTTTAAAAATCACATAGTGATTGCATATTAAGAGACACATAAAACAAACAAAAAAAGTCGAAAAAGAAAAATCAACAAAAAAAAAATTAAACTGAGAAACCCTAGATATGCCTAGAAAAGGGAGGAAAAATTTGAAGACGATGCCGATCTCTTTCTCGTTGGTTGCGTCAATCGATCTACCTTGCATTTGATCAAACAGTGCACTTAAATCAAAACCAAGGAGGGGAGTGGGTAGAAGAAAGGGAGAGAGAGACTGAAACAGAACCAGAGAGAGATTTACAAAATGGCCTCTTTACTGTTCATCCAAAAGTATAAAGCAGGTTTAAACTGCTTCAAGCATAAACTTTATGCCATCACTTATTACTCCAAGATGACTAACTAATAACATAGAGAGTCTACTGAATTAATGTAGTTCCAAAACCAAATATTTATAGAAAAATCAAAACGGCCAATTGGCTTAAAACTGACTTTTGTTACTTTAGACCTCTTTACTGTTTTTTTTTAAACAAATTCTTTCTAGACCTCATTGAGCCAATCTCAGCATTGTTTAACTGGCAAAGCTGAAAGCATAATTTGTTTTATTTTTTTTAATCAAAACTTACAATTCTCACTCTAAAAGTAAATAAAAATGAGAGGAAAAAAAAAAAGAAAGAAAGAAAGAAAGGAAAGAATAGGCTCAGCTCCTGTAAAAAATAACAGACAGTTTTCACCCAATGAAACAAAAATATATTGAGTTAAGAGTCACAGGAGTAAAGGCAATAAGAAGAAAAAAATTGACTCTAACCCATCCAATCAAAAATTTAATTTATTATAACCACATTTTTTTGTCACATCTATTTTAAAATGAATATACAATTGTGCCTACAGTGTCTAAGTTTTAAAATTAAAATTTTAATTGATTATAAGCACTGATAGAGTTATAGGGTGTGTAAAAAGTAAGAGGCAAAGTTATTCTGTTGAATCAATATAATCTAAATTTCTCTTCCACCCCCAAAATCACCTATCAAGAAGAAAAATTCCAATAAAAAGAAACTCAATAAATAAACTTCTAAAATTGTGGGGAAAAAAAAAAGGCTCACTTGTTAAATGGGTCGTTGTGCCATTGCTTTCCATTTCTTGAAACATTCACTAATAGACCCACACAACACTTTCATTCATTGTCTAACTTGAATTTTTCAAGTCTAATCAAAACAAACTAAAACATCTTGTTTTTGAAAAACAATAAAATCAAACATAAAGGCATTCTAAACAATGCTAATTTTTAAAATTACAGTAAAATTATCACAATGATTATTATCAAAATAGTATGAAATTCAAAAATTAAAATAGAAGATCCAAATTATTAGCATAAAAAAATCAAGTACTCGCTCTTCTTGGTTCTTGCTTCTCTACTGTCTCTGAACAAAAAACATAAACTGCATGTAGCTAATAATCCAAAAGATAGCCAACATATAAAATGAAGCCTAGCTAGTAAAAATTTAAGATACTTAATTTTCACATGTAAAATAAAGCCAAGTTAAACAATAGATAAACAACAAATTATTGACAAATCCATCAATGGAAGGCAGACCAATTACCTAATCAACCATTGTAGCAAACAAAGCCATAACAACTTTTTATGAGCTAATCAAACACACCTTTAAGCTAAGGTTAAAAAATTGTTTACCATTAATCATGGTTAAGGTGGCAAACCCATAGGACTTCTAAATGAGTTAATGGTCATAATAGAACATACAATAGATCCTATGTTTGAATCTTATAGTCTGTCAGATAATTCCAATACTCATACTTAAGGACAAAATTAAGGGAAGCATATATATATCCTTTTTATAGTTGGTTAAGTCTGTTTGCTACTGCCTTACTTTTAGAAGCATTTTTTTGAAAGGAATTACCTTTCATAATCATGTAAGTAAACCATCAAAGGAACAAACAGAGAGATAAAGCAAATTTACATACATTAATAACCATATGAAAACACAAATTTGTATCACATGCATGGAATTAGGTAGATGATTGAATCAAATTATCAACTAAGCAATGAAATGCACTGTTATCAACTAAGCAATGAATTAGTAGTGGAATTCACCAAATTATAGAAAGGAAATACGAATCGTAATCAGAAAATTTTAACTAATTCAGAAAAGATAAAAATCAAGGAAATCTCGATATCATAACAATAGAGAGTTGAGTGAGTATACACATATTGACATGAATATTATTTCAAATAAAAGCTTAAATTTAAACCATGAACAGTGACCAACCTCAAGAAAAATTAGTGCAAAGTTTGAAGTTTTCGGATTGAATTTCCTGATTTGGAGCCGCAAAAGGTCCCAAAAGGTCTAGACCTTTCACTCACACACACACACACACACACACACAGAGTATTGATGGTTCTCTCAGAAAAATTAGCGCAAAGTTTGAAGTTTTCGAATTGAAACAAAAAAAAAGAAGCAAAAACAAAAATAGAAAGAGCAAAATAATGGGTTGTGCTCCAACCAGTAACAAAACTTTAAGATGACTCAAACATTAACCTTTTACAAAAAGCATCCTTGGAACTCTGAAACTCTGAAGACAATGTTAGAGACCCAATCAAAATTATTAGTAAAAGACAATAATTCGGGACTCAATGAGAATATCAGAAATACAATCAATCAATATCGCAATGTAAACATCCCAATTCATACTTACAAATTTATTGAACTTTTCAACTCAACACCAAGCATTAATAAAGCAACCACAAATCTGTAAAATAGATCCTTCCAAAAAACCCTGAGATGAGTGAAAAAATTGTAAAGCTTCCTATCAATTAAATAATCAACCAACAAAAACAAAAACATAGATCTATATATACATACATACATGAACCCTGAGATGAGTGAAAAATACCTATCAATTAAACAAAACCGTAGATCTATACATATATACATACATACATATATGAACCCTGGGCAATCGAAGAAATCTGAGGTTTTAGAAGAAACCAGAGAAACCAAAGTTTTTTTTGCTACTGAGAAGCCAATTGAGAACTCAATTTCTTCCTCAATAGTCGATGAACATAGTCGACTGTGATGACTCTGCTCCAATTAGTCCAAAAAACTACCATTTTAGATTCTCCAATTTGGTTGCTCATCGCGTCTTCGTTGAAAATATAGATTGAGCATAGTTGTTGGGTATTTTTGAAAATCCTGAGAGATGAGAGGAAAAAGGGAAAAGAAAGGTAAAGTAAAAGAGAGATAGGAGAGGAATGGCTGGGAATCAAATTCTTGGCAAATGATCTCAGCCATTCCATTAATACTTAAAGTGATCTTAGCCCTTAAACAAAAATATAAAAGAGAGACATTTTGAAATTTATATGACACGCAGGACATTTTTTAAAAACAGTTTTGCCATATTATATAGATATTGATAATGTAATTACATTATTCTTTGTTATAATAAAATGTACAAGAATCTTTAGTGCTTGTTTGGGATGTGTTATATAAGTATATTTTTTAATTTTTTAATTAAAAAAATAGAGAAAAAATATGTATATTTGGAATAATTTTTTAATTTTTTACAAAAAAATGTTTAATAAAATTAAAATGACCATTCTACCCTTGTTGACTTTTTAACTTTTGAGTAGTTGAATTCAAATGACAAAATAATAATTTTACCCTGTAGGCTTCTTTCACAAGCTTCTTCCAAATAGTGTGAACTTTTTGACTTTTTTAATAATTTTTTTAACTTTTTAACTTTTATAAATTATCCCAAACAAGCTCTTAATGGAGTGTGTATGTAAAGTGTGGAATAAAATCAATAAAGGACCTTCATCCTATGATCCTTTTCCCGAACTTTTATATCTTTCTTTCTCCTTCCATTTTGGATTTTTTTTTTTAATTTGTTTTTTCTGTCAGGATTTGTGTTTAATTTTTTTTTTCCGAACGAATAATTCTATGTATCCCATCTTATCTATTCCGAATAAAATTATTTAATTATGATTAAATTTGTATAGTGTATAGTTCATATATAAAATATATCTAAGTCACAAAATAATAATTTAAAATAATTTTTGAATAATTAATTCTAATTTGTAATATTACTATTTTCAGATTTGGTTGTAGTTTGAAATCAGTAATTACAGATACCACCGAGTAGGTTGGCAAGTGAATGGGCCCTGAACAGTACATGAGCTACTCCTAAAGCCATAAATAGGGTAATTTAAAATTGCCGAACAGTTACACAGTTCCAAAATGAAATTAAATTTGAATTAATTACCTGTCTAGTCAATATCAAATAAATTTTAACAGAAAAATTTATGAACTAAATTTGAATTTATTAAATTTAAAAAACTTAACTTAACTTCACAAGTAAAATTGATGCATTATGAGATTAATCTATATTTATCTCAATGATCTAAATCATTCATCTCATATAATAAACTAAAAAATTAATCAAACTATGTTAGCCGTATAATTTGTAAAAGCCAATCATAGAGTGACATGTGGCACCTAAAGGGTAATTTCAAAAATTAATGCAAGCTTCCAATCAAAGACAGACACGTAACAGTTCATATTGGTAGTATCGGATCTGCGTGACATCTGAATAATGAAGAGGCGCGAGATGACATAACCTAACGGTTACATACAATTCAAATTCAGAAAGAAAGCCTAACTACAAGAGAGGCATAGTGGGAGCTAGTTGAGCGAAGCCATGACCAGAGATCGCGGAGATGCATTTCGACGGTTAGAAGGCCACTTCAACGGTTATCACTAAAGAATATAAATAGCAGAGAAGGCTAAAGAGAAAAAGACCCAGACTCAGATTCAGAAACTAGTCATTTACTTCATATTTTCTTTCCAGTTCTTTACGTTTCCAGCACTTCAATTCCTGTACTGCACTTCATTTTCTAGGAGTAGTTTCAAATAGTTTGTTGCTGTGAACCTCTACGAGACTGGGTTAGATCATTGTAAGTTTTCATTTACTTAATAAAATTCAGATTCTGAAATTGTTCTTCACTTATTATTGTTTACTAATTTTTTCTAAACAAGCTACCAGTAAAAGTCTATAATTGGTTGGCAATTAATATTCTGTAAGGACTAATTGATCCTTACTGACGCGCTTAAATTTACATTATTAACCTTCGAAAACCAAGAAAGCCAACATATATTTTTTACACGCCCAGTGTAACCCTAAAATGGCTAAATGTAGGAGACAAAGAGAAAATGAACGCCTGAAAGAAGATGTGGAGGGAGAGATAGAAGTACCTGATCCAGAGGATAATATGATAACACATCTTATGGAAACACCTATCTCATTAAAACCTTTGGTCGAACAGACCAACACCTCAGAACATGCATCACATGTTCAAAATATTGGACGAGGCCATGGAATTGGACCATCCACTATTCCATATATCTAGCTAATGAATCTGTGGGGAGGCTTGGTAGATACCATGGGATAGCAGTTAATGTATGCAATGGAAAGATGAACAACATCCTTCATGGTATCACAAGGCATATGAAGGAAAATTCAAATGTTCTCCAGCAAAGATTGGCTAGAGATAAACAGTCTATGTAAATTAATGGACATACTAATGGTCAGACTAATAATCAAAATAATGAAAGACCATCACTTGTACCTCAGTCATGGTATGAGCCTCCTTCGAGGCCTTTGGTAAATCAAAATATTTTATTACATAACAGCGAAGCCATACAAATTGGTGGATCTGGGCCAACACAAGAAAATGACATAAGAATGTTTCGAAATCCCATGTTCAAAACCATGCCTGGCACAAGGGAGTTCACTAACCCTCTGTTCGGATTCACACCCGGGGGGTTGGAAGGGTTTCCTGCGACTGGGAGAGAAACAACACATGATCCTCCTCTTGCAGCACCTTTCGCAGGACAGATCTAGAGAGGTCAACCATGCCCTCAACAGCAACCAGTACCACAGGAATAACCAGTCCTAAACATAGCTCTTTATGGACCAAGAGGACCTCAAGCACATCGGATTCCACCAAGCCCTGTGTTTGTTCCTCTAGTAGTAGTCCAACAAGCACAGAATATGGTTCTTGATATTGTCAGAGAAATGTGTGGACCTATGGCTCGGAGGGTCCAAACTATTGTCTATAGAAAGCCATACCCAGAATGGGTGGATAGGGTCCATGAATACCCAAGGGGGTTTAGAATACCAGGCTTTGCTCTCTTTTATGGAAATAGAAACCAATCAACAGTAGAACACATTGCTAGGTTCGCAGGCCAATGTAGTGAATTTACCAATAATGATTATATGAAGTTGAGACTCTTTCCAAATTCTTTAACCAGGGCAACCTTTGTATGGAATATTAACCTTACGCCTGGCTCTATCGAAACTTGGCAACAAATAGAAAAGGCATTTCATGCCCAATTCTTCCAACCAAAGCCTGAAGTTTCTATGGCAAATTTGGTAAGGTTGAGCCAAAAGCTTGATGAGAAGGCTGCTCAATTTATTGCCAGATTCAAAACAGCACGAAACAAGTGTAGGGTCATTCTACCAGAGCCTGCATTTGTGAGATTGGCTCAAAATGGTTTAGAGTTTAGGTTTCGAAAGAAGTTCGATTCAACTGAGTTTCGAGACTTAGTGGAATCAACCTATAAGTTGTCTAGATATGAATATTTACTTGAGGAAGAACATGATTGAAGTAATGCATCATATAAGACCTATTATAGGGACCCTAATTATGAAATTGGCGTAACAGAAATCGTAGGAAAAGAGTCTATGACCTGTGAGGCGTTAATTCAGAAGGACAGTACAATAGACCAACAGTTTAAAAAGAAAGACCTTCATAGGAAGTATTCTTTTGATTTAACAAAAGCAAATGACATTTTTGATCATTTGCTTGCAGCAAATTTTCTAAAATTACCAACAGGAGTTAAGATCCATACCTC